AGCACCATGTGATTTAGCTGAGGAGAGCTCCATCTGTGCGATATCCTGAAGAGTGTGAATTTGAATTTCTAGAGAGAGTTACAGTCTAAGTTTTGTATAAAAAATCATAAGTACAATTTTTTTACACCTGTCCAAATTTTAAGTACAAACAAGTACACACTTACATTCTAAGTTTTGCCCAAAATGGTTCAGAACTATTGTTGCTAAACTATTTGTGCATTGTAACTTTGGTGTTTTGTAACTGTAGATTTTTTTTTAATCTGTCACAACAAAAAAAGTTACACCTCTTCAAATTCTTGAGTACAAGCACACAGAATGTGTTCTGTGAGTTGCATATTAAAAATGTCTTTGATTAAGTTTTCCTACAGTTGATCTAAAACAAATGGTGCAAAAAAAATTCAAACACGTGTTTTAAAAACTTAAAAAAATTTAGTTTTTTTTTTTCCTTAACACAAATGCAAATTAATGAATAAAACTTGCCAAATCTGATGCTGTGAGTCACACAATTTTTTTTTTACTTTTGTCACAAATGTCAAACGGTAAAAACGATGTGTGACGTGTGGGTAGTACCCTTGATCAGACAGCAGGGGGCGGTGCCTGCTCGGTCAGGCTGTACCAACTGGAAATGCATATATGGCCTACTGCCATGTTGCCTCTCTGTGTGAATCTGTATGCCCTCTATGGAGGACCAATCCTGCCATAATAAAAAATAAATACAGAAATAAATAAATGCTCCAAAAATAAATATGCATATAATTATTTGCCCCCCAAAATACAATAAACAAATAAATGTAGGTAGAAATTAAATAATACAGTGAGTTATAATATTTTTGTCTGGTTTATTCCTCCTTTGTATTTTTTACCCTATTTATTTATTCCATGCTATTTATTTCTGCCTGTTGTTTTTCACATTTCTGTCTGATTTCTGCCTCATTATGCAAATGAGGAGGGGGCGTGGCTTATAGGGTCACCTTCTGCCCATTGGTTGATTAGCAGTAGCCGGCCACAGTCACAACAAACATGGCTACCTACGATGAAGCTGTCAGTGAGCTGAGACATTTAGCAACTGTTTTTGAAAAAATGACTATCATAAGCAATGAAACAATACCCAATTCCCAAATACATCTCAAGTCTCCGCTAAGTGTGGAGCTCATTCCCCCCGTCCTGCTCTCCCTCCGCTGGCTGGCGTCGGGGCTCGCCGGTGCACTGGTCGATTGTGCTGCTCTTGCTTCGTCTGGTGGGGGAGCGGCATGGTTCGCTCTGGCTTTGGCTCTGGCTTTGGCCTGGCTTTGGCTCTGGCTTTGGCCTGCCCACGGGCAGCTGAGGTGGGGGTGGTTGTGCCGGCTGCGGTCTGCTCTTCTTGCGGTCGGGCGCCGGGCGGCTTTTCTGCTCTTGGGTTGTTTCTGTGCGCGGTGTGTTGCCTTGCGCGGTGTTGGCGTCTGTCTTGGTGGGGTGGGGCCGCGCTTTTGGCCTGGGGGGCGTTTTGGGGGGGTTCCACGGCGCCTGCGGCCGGTTTGCGGCGGATGCGCTAGGCCCTGGCTGTGGGCGTGGCCGCCTGTGTGTTTTTCCTGGGTGGTGCGGTCTTGTTGGCTGTTGCCGGTCTCCGGGGCTTGGTGCCGGGGGCGGGGCGTGTTTCGGTGCTCTGTGGGGCCGGGGGCATTTAGGTCGGTGTCGTGGGGGGCCGGTGTTCGGTCCCCGGGGCGCCAGCATGGCGGCGGCTGGTAGGCTTCCTTGGGGATGTCTCTCCTCCTCCCTTGATGGGGGTCTGATTTCCGGGGCTGGCCCCTCCTTGGTGCCTTCGCTCTAGGGGTCCCTTTGGGCGCCTGGGGCTTTGGGTCTCCCGGCGCTGGTCTCAGTGCTCGGGGGGGGGGTGTGCCTCTCCAGCTCTCCACAACCACTATTGAGCATTTTTTCTATGGTTAAAACTTTACATTACTAGGCTTCAGGTACTTAGAGATTCACTTCCAAACAGAAACCACACATTCATATCTTCAGGTAACACAGAGTACATGTCAGACTTAATAATATTACTTTAGCAATAGTTTCAAGATGTTGCTTTATTGTATGTCTCGTACCATGTCTTTCG